ACAGCGTGTATGTCCATCAACAGATGAATGGATACAGAAAATATGGTATTTATACACAGTGGAGTACTACTCTGCCATAAGGAAAGATAAATTTGAGTCATTTGTAAGTAAATTGATGCAACTTGGGACCATAGTACTAAGTGAAATAAGTCAGACACACAAGCTTAAATATCACACTATTTCTCTGAGAAATGCTCAGAGAAAAAGGGAGGGAGGGAAGGAGGAAGAGAGGCAGGGAGGAAGGTAGAAACAGAAGTAGAAAATAGGAAGATCTTTTACAAAATGAAATGGAGGAACAGGAAACAGAGGGTGGCAGAAGGAAGGGGAGGGAAAGAGAACAAAACTTATTGAAGAGAAAAAATGACAAAAATTGAGCTTTTGCAAATGGGAGGAGGACAAAGAGTTGGAAGGAGCAGTGAGAGAGGGGAAAGGAGAGGAGACAAAAAGAACAAAGATTTTTAAAAGAATTAAGATGTGTTAGGTACATGTACCAACTCCACATAAGGAATGTAATCATTATGTACTGCCCACATGTACTAATAACAATGTAAATTTAAAAACACCATTAGATCTAAACAGAGAGATAGGCTCATTATTACTATTACCCAATGCTACACGTTCAGCAGTGCACAGATCATTTAGACAATCAACAAAGAGACATCAGAGTTAAACTATACAACAGATCAACAGGAATGAACAAATATTTACAGAATAGAAAAGTATTTCCTCAACAGCTACAGAACATACATTCCTTTCACCCATGCATGGAACTTTCTCTCAAATAGACCATACATTAGGCCACAAAACAATACTTAACAAATTAAAATTAAAACCATACTCTGTCTTTTCTGATGACAATGAAACTAGACATCGGCAAGAGAAAATTTAGAGGTTATACAAATACACAAAGAAAATCTAGATAGTATACACATGCTCAGGAATCTGAACTTTTGAATGAATACTTGAAGTCAGAGGGCTATTAAACTGCTTCATCATCAAACAAATGAAAATGGAAACACAACACACCAAAACCATAATGGGATCCCTGTTATGGTTAAACACGAAGTGTCCCACAAGAGTCATGTATCAAAGACTTAGTCCCCAATGCAGCAATACGCGGAAGGAGGCCAAGAGTGACACCTGGACATAGTGGACATTGTTTACACTGGCTCTCTCTAGCCCTGTGAGACAGTGGGAAACTACTTTTCTGATCGATTTGTTTCTTAGCTATTTACTCTGTGCAGCTTAGAAATTCAAAAATTGCCACAAGTGGAAAAAATTTCTAAGTTTCCAGCTTCTTCCTATATGTAAATCAAATCCCTTATCTCTACAGCCCTTTGAGACTGCTAAGAGCTCTCTGCTGGCCTCTCTGAATCTTAAATGTGACCCTAAGCCCAGAATATTGGCTTCTCACCTATAATAAAAACTGAAAAATTCCACTGGGCACAAAAGCATCTCACAAATATAGATTCACCACTCTGCATTATCTTCTTTCCAGAATCTTGACCCATAGAATCCTATTTACTTGGGTGGTTCTCTGATGCTTGCCAACAGACTGTTTTAGTATTCCTCTGCGCAAGCTAGTCCATCTTAGCTGGAGGCAAAATGTCTCACCTTCGTTGTATTTTAAGTCCTTTTGCTTTTGAGACAGGGTCTCACTATGTACTTCAGGCCAGCCTTGAACTATGTACCCCAGGCTGGCCTCAAACTCATGGTGGTCCTCCTGCCTCTGCCTTTCAAGTGCTGGGATTACAGGTGTGTGACACCACACTTGGGGTATTTTAAGTCCTGAATTAAATTCTCTCTGTACTTTGCCATAATATATCAACTAATTTGGAGCAGAAGCACTAAAGCTTCCCTAACATAGCCAGCAGGTGGGAACTCCTCCAATCCCTTCCTAAATCTTCACTGGATACTTACTCTTGGGGCAAAATTGTCATCTTCTGAGAGTATATATGTTTCTTGCTTTCAAAAAACAATGTAGATAAATATGATTTATAGAAAAACAAAGTAATGCAACAAACATAACTGCTTTCTTATGTGACTAAGTCAGCATGTTCAACTCAGAGCAGTTCTCACACCTGTTTACTTTAACCCCAGGAACCTTCACACTTTGAAAATTATTGATGACCCAAAAGGCCCCTGTTCATGGAGACCTTTAATTACACTAGAAATAAAGACTGAAAAAATGTTAAAGTATTTTTTCATTAATTCACTGAAAATTAATAAACATTACAGCTCAACATAAATAACAGTGTAATGAAAGACAATTATATATTTTAAAGCAAAAACAGAGAGAAAAGTTCTACATTTTTGTAAATTTCTTGAATGTCTGGCTTACTGAAAGACACCTGTATTCTGATCCACCTCTGCCCTCGATCTACTCCAGTATGCAACTGAGCTTGAACAGTATGAAGAAAATCCAGCTTCATACAGATAGGAAACTGGAAAATGGAGGAATATTTTAATAGTCCTTTCAGACAATGATACTATGCCAAAGCTTAACAAATGATAGTTTAAAGGTTAATTGAAATATGAATATAAGGGAGGGGAAGGAAAAAGACAGGCAGGGCATGTAAAATGAATTAAGAGGTGTTATGTACATGTACCAACTCCCCATGATGAGTGTAACCATTATCTACTGCAAACATGGACTAATAAAAATTTAAAATATGAATTTTAAAAGGACAAATTTTTTTCTGAACTTCATCTTTCCATGAGAAGTTAAGAAGCAATGGAGATTCTCTTCCATGTGCCAAGGTCTGCCTTACACTGTATTGAGTTGGCTGGTGCTTAGATAGACAGAGGTCCTGGGATAGAGAGATGCCATCTCCATCAAGGCTGGATCATTGAATCTATTAGGAAGATTTTCCCCTGGGCTTGAATTCCTTGTACTTGGGCTCTGGTTTGGGGTGAAACCAGATGGAACTCAAGGACCTCATGCTCACTCTTTCAGTGGCCTCAAAGGGAAAGTCTTGGCCAGGTCATCTTCCTTTTTTTCCCCCCAAGGAAGCAGCTGCAGGTCCTTAACCAGTTATTAAAACAGATTAAACAGCCAGACACAAAAACATATAGAACACATAAAACAATTAAGTTTCATCATAGTGAACTCTTAGATGCACTGGGCATGCTCAATAGTAATAATTTTTTATAGCTTTAGGTTTATAGATACAAATAAGCTAGTGAGAACTTTCTCTAGTGGGTGTCATAGCAATTTTTAGATGAATCATGAGATCTTTTATAATAAGTTATACCAATAAGAGTCAGAAGGAAGAAAGAGCGAAGCTGTAAATTGTTAAATGGAGTCTGTTATCCTTCCTTATCATAAAACTAAATTTGAGGCCTTGTCTCTTTTATACCAATAAAAGCTAGAACTGTTTGAAGAAAGATCTTAGGTTGATGATCTACCTTAATCTTTGCAATAGCTGCTACCAGAGTCCAGGCCCCTCTGGGCCTTGGTATTGGAATTATGATGGGAAACTGCTCTTTTGATAATGGCAGCTATTCCTCATATAAATGTCCCCTCCAAAGGGACAGACCTGCTAAAGGTACAGTGTTGTAATTTAGGTTTCCCTGGTAACTGCTGTTCTCCATTTCCCAAGGGGTATTCAGGGTATGTGTGTAGCAAAAGACCAGGCAATGGTGTTTTAGAGTCTAGGGTTAAAGAAGTCTTAGCTTTTAAGTATACATTCCAAGGGGTGGGGAAAATTGAGATTTCCTGTTTTGTTTTGTTTTTGGTACCAGGGATCGAACTCGGGTCCTTGCGCTTGCACAGCAGGCGGCGAAACCACTGAGCTAAATCTCCGACCCGAGAGTTCCTGTTTTGAAAATTAACAAGGGGAGAAAATGCATCCCTGCCTGTCCCTGCTTCTTTTGTCCTGTTATCTAAAGCATCCTGTAGGCCTGACCAGTCCAGTGCCAGCAGTGGCTGCTAGAGTTGGTCTCAAGTTCATGGGCAGGCCCAGACCATCCGCTCTTACTGGCACCTGTATCCCTTTCCTTGCCATCCTGTGATCCTGTTGGTCATGCTATTGGTTTTTTCTTTCTGAGCCCTCAGTTAGCATATCTGAGGACAGAAATTGGTTTCTGGCCTGGCTATATGCTGCAGAGAGAAATTGTGGTGAGAGACGGGTAGCCCCTGGACCAGGAGATATGGCTATTGGTTCCCTTAAGACCTGTTTTTTCTGAAGCTGCCAATTTGTCCCATTCAAATAACCCAGCTGCCACCCCAAGGACAGAAAGACAGTGAGGACTAAATTCTTTCTCAAGGTGGATCTCTGGTCTTTAGTAAAATAAGCCTCAAAACAGGAGAAAAGAAAAAGCAGGAGGAGAAGAGTTGGAATTGAGAGACCACAGCAGTGAGAGACTTGTCCTCATCAGCGCTTGCAGGGAGTTAATGGAGCAGCACACCCAAGGCCATCAGTCTCAGGAGACCAAGTGTGTCAAGAGCCATAATTGCTCCCTCACTGTCGGAGAAGCACATCAGAAAGGAAACTGAGGCAGAGCAGGCTCTCTGTTCCCTCCCATGTACCTGGGAGAGGGATCAGCCAGTGAAATCCTGTCCTCAAAAGTTTTGGAGTGCTGGCTGGCACTAATCACCTTCTTTATTTGTTTTTTTGTGGGTTTTTTTGGTACCGGGGATTGAACTCAGGACCTTGTGCTTACGAGACAGGCACCAGAAGCACTGAGCTAAATCCCCGGCCCTAATCACCTTCTTTAATTGGTTTAATCCTGTGTTTTTATATGAGGTGTATTCCCCATATCTACTCCACCAGGGAAATGACAGAAGGCCACCTAGTAAAACACAGTGCAAATCTATCTTCTAAATGGAATCACAATTAACAAAAACATATTGTAAGAGGAAAAAGACAATAAAAACTCCCCTTTGGGGTCTTACCTTTTAATCTTGTATCTTAGTGGGACCTCCAAAATAGTCCATTCTATACAAACCAAGCTCATAATCTCACGAAGTTGAAGAATAAAGTTGTGAACAAAAGGAGGAAGTTAGGAGACTATTTATTTGACATGAGAAATTGCTCCCATCACCAGGAGGGGATTCTGAATGGAAGTCCAACATGCTTTCTTTGCTGTGCTCTTATGTGAATAAGCAGAGCATGGGGAAAAGCTCATTTCAAAGAAAATGAGTTCGAAGGAAACCAGTTAGTTTGCATTTCTAATGTTTCTCAAAGTCCAGTCCAGAGGTAGGAACTGTCAACTTAACTTAGCATACTCTGTAATAAGAACCTTCTTCCTGGGAGGAAAGGTCCTTATCTCTCCTACCCTAAACTTTTCTCTTTTTTTCTTGTTTTCTTTCATATTTCTACAGTAAAGTGCATAAGTCATAAGCACACAGCTCAGAGAATTTATACGTACAGACACCTTTCTGAATCTACCACCTAGCTCAAAATAAAGGACATTTCTCTTTGCCCAGAAGGCTTTCCTGGGCCCTTCCTCTCCAATGCCCCTGCCTACCTGAATAGTAAGAACCACGTTTCTAACGGTTCAGTCCTGGAGCCTTTTGAACCTAATAGACATGGAAATTGTGTCTGGCTTTTGTTCAACTTTCATGCCTATGAAATTTATTTGTGTCATGTCTGTAGTTCACACTTTATTGCTGATTTTCATTATATGATTATAATACATATTATCTATTATACTGTATAATATATATTATAATCCATTTTACTCTCAGTATAAAGTTTGGGACTATAATAAAGTTGCTGTGAATATTCTTGTAATTTTGTGGGGGTGGTGCTGGGGGTTGAACCCAGGGCCTTGTGCATGCTGGGCGAGTACTGTCCCTCTGTGCTATGTCCCCAGCCCTCACATTTCTTTTGGGGTACATTTCTGCCCGGAACACGTACCCTAGGAGTGAAATTGCTGGGTCAAAGGGCAGGCAGGTGTTTAACCTCCAGAGGTGGCTTCCCAGAATGGTTGGAACCCTTTCTTCTGCTCTTCCTAGTTTTTGAACATATCACAAAGCAGCTTTTCCATGGGAGTATTCCCTATGGTCTTGCAAAAAAAGACATGCTCAATGCGTTCAGAAGTGAGGAATCTCAGAGACGGGAGGAGCAGAAGCAGCTTCCCAAACCTGGACAGGAGAGAAGACACCATCTGTTTTACCCTCAGCTCTGAGCACTGGAGCCTGGGGCAGGGCCTGCCAGGAAAGGTGGGGCAGGGGAGGGCAGAGCAGAAAAGCATCAGAAAGGTCCATAGCCTGTGGACAGTCAGTATGTGTAAAGATTGCACAGGGAGGGGTTTATGTTTATTGTATACATGAATATATTAATCACAAGTATTCAAATCATATGATTAGTTTTATATAGAAGAATAAGAGCATACATTTCTGCCTGAGAAACGCCATCATGCCTGACCAGCTTGTGTCTTTCTGAGGAGTGAAAGGAACAAGTAACTGTGAGATGAGCTAGAGAATTCTTTTTTTGCAAACTGCAAGTACTCACTCACTTTATGGGTCTGAAATTACATTTAAAGTATCACAGCAAGTCTTAAAAAGATAAAAATAAAGCTGTGTGTGGTGGTGCATGCCTATAGTTCCAGCACTCAGGAGGCAGAAGCAGGAGAATTGCCATGAGTTCGAGGCCACCCTGGGCTACAGTGTGGTCAAGCCCAGCCTGAACTATAGTGAGACCCAATCTCAAAAACAAAAGGATCATAACATGAATATATCAGAGTAAATTATATAAAGGTTAGGCGTTTCTTGGTGGAACTTTGTCTCAGCATCTATGTATACATTGGGTTACGGTGAAACTGCAAATCATCTCCGGTATTGCGGTTTCAGAAAAGTGAGATATGCTGACCCAGAAAATCTGAAACCTCCACCCCTACTCTCCGTTCTGCCCAGAGCACTAATGAGCTGCTATGAAGAGACACCGGAAGTCTTAATCAGCATTTTGAAATCTGACCCAGAAGCAATAGGCCAGGGCATGTCCAGGAGTTGAGCCCACCAGCTTTGGACATTGGGTTTTAGTACTTGTTTCCCTGTGCACACACATGGGCACGGATCCTCTTGTGCAAAAGAACATAGAGCCTGTCTCCCTGGACTTGTCTGGAAAGGAAAGTGCCGCTTCTCCTTGGACCCTTTCCTCAGTGGAGAGGCGCCTGGAGGCTGCCCTGTTGCATCACTTCATCAGAACAGCAGTGGCCAGCCGGAGGACAAAGATGGCAAGGCTCCAAATGGATGCCTGGAGTCCCTGGGGCCCAAGCTCACCGCACTCCCAGTGTGTGGCTGGTGAGGAGCTACTCGGGGTGCTGGATCCTGCCCCCACCCCAGCCCCACTCAGCCTGCAGCTCTCACCCTGCAGTCCCAGCCAGGACGTCATCATCTACTGAGCACCTGCCAACCTCTGCAGGCATCTCTCCAGGATGCCCCTGGCCCTGTCCTTGCCTGGCTCCCTTCTCCTTTTCTTCTCTGGTTGCTCTCTGCTTCTGAACGGCTCCTCTTCCCTCACCCTTTATGGCCTCCCAAGTGCCAAGTCCACCTTTCTGGCTCATGGTGTCTCTGGCTTCCATCTCCTCCTTTCCACCCCCTGGGAAGGTCAGAACTCAGCAGAGTCCCCTGCAAGGTGGTGGCAGCCACTGTGCCCCTGGAGGGCACTTGATACTCAGTACCATGGCCTGCGTGTGTTAAGTTCCCCTCAAAAGCCTGCTTCCATCAGATGTGCCCTTTACCTGGCACTCCAGGTCCTGGGCAGGCGGGGCCCGGAGGCCTTTCGGACTCAGCCTACCTTCCTGCTGGATCCGCTGGACACGGTGCTGGCCTCTCTGCCAGCATCAGTGAACGGTGAGCTCTCTCCTGCCAGCCCTTCCCTTTCTCTCAAATCTGTCTCCACCTCCACAAAGTCACTCTCAATCCTGCTTGTCGCTCCCGCCCCCCATCACGTCGCCTTTGGGTACAGGCTGCACCTCCACCACAGGGCAGTCTGGTCTCCCAGTGCTCACTGTGCCCAGCTCCCCTGGAGGGCAGCAGCCTTGTCACATGCACATTCTGGTCCTCTCCAGGGGTCTAGTAGTCGGAGATATCAGAGAGGTGCTGTTTGAACAGTGACCCTGTCCTAGCCAATCCAGGAGCCCAGATGGGGGAGGGGCAGGGGGCAGGCGGCTACCTCACGGGCTGGCTGGGGTGGTGCGCCTTGCTGTGCTGGCTCAGCATCATCTGGGACTGGTCCTGCAGGGCCTCCACATGCTCGGGATCCTTCAGGCCTGGGGTCTCTGGGGAAGAGGCCGTGCCCGTGAGCTCCCCTCCCGGGATCCCCAGTTCACCCTGTCTCTCATGGTCACCAGGAAGGGGCCTCTGAGGAAAGGAGCCAGGTCATGTCTCTCCCCCACCCCCAGCATGGAGCCTGCACACACCTGGGTGGAGGGAGCGGGTAAGTGGAAGGAAGTCACCCAGTCCCCAGGCTTCACCCCTCTTGCCTCTGGGAGGCTCAGGCCGAGATTCTACCTGGCTTGAAGAGGACCAGGGCTTTCATGCAGGCGAACTCTGTGGGGTCCACTGCCAGCACCTGGAAGCGGGCCACAGTCTCCTGCAGGAAGCGCCGTTCCCCACTGGCCAGCGCCAGGAGGCCCTGAGAGCTGCCGGCTGCAGAGGCCTCAGCAGGGGACAGCAGGGGACAGCTGTCCAGAGGCAGGGACCACTGGATGGCCCCGAGGAGAAAGAGCTCGCCCCATGCCTCCTCCAGCAGGATCACCTGTGTTCAGAGAGGGCGAGGGCGTCATGGGGGCCACAGCTCCTCTGCTCAGCCTGGCCTTCTGCATCTTCTCTAGGCAGGACAGGTGGTCTGGGGCCTAGGATGTTCTGGGCCGACAGAGGCGCTGGCACTGGACACCTCCAGCCCCACTGCCTAGACATCTGTGGGTTTCACCCAGAGTGGCAACTGGGACACTTAAGAAACCGGAGGCCAGGATGTAGGACAGCCCTGGAGACAGGCCCCAGGGTGTCCAAGCTGAGTGTGCACAAAAGACTAGCCTTTGTGTTTTGGGGATACTAGGGTTTGGGCCCAGGGCTTTCACAGTGAGCTGCATCCTTGCCCTCACCCCCTTATTTGAGACAGAGTCTAAGTTGCTAACTTACCAGGCTGGCCTCAAACTTGGGATTCTCCTGCTTCACCCTCCCAGTACTGGAATTATAATCATGCTCTACTGCACCTAGTGGCCTGACTCCTCTGAGCTGCTCACTCCCAACACAGCCTGACCAAGCTTCAGCCCACCTGCCACTCTCTTCCTGGTCCTTCACGAGAGCTCTGTTGCCCTTTAGAAGCCCAGAGCACCGTTGCAGATGTGAAGAAGTTGGAATGCCATTCATACCCTGAAGTCACAGGCCCTCATGCTCCCAAAGAGTGCTCCCACGTTGGGATATGGGGGTCCCTCCCTCCTCTGTAGAATGTTTGCAGGCTCGGGGCTCTGTCCATGAGAGGAGATCCAGGAACCCCAAGTCCTGGCACCTGTGTGTCCCTGGTTACCACTGTCCCTGCTTGCAAATGTGCGACCCAGCAGTCACCGCCTGAGCTGGTGCACCCCACCTCTCCTACCACGGCCGTGCATGTGCTAAGCCCTGGGAGCCCGCAGCTGGCTCACCTGGTCCCGGAAGGGCAGGCTGGACAGCACCGGCAGGTTCTTGGCCCACTTGACAGCCATGAAGAGCAGGCGAGCCGATATCTCCTGGACACTGTCCAGGCCACAGGGGGACACTGGGAACTCGGGCTCATTGCTGGTGACATCAATGTTCTCCTCGGCTGTTGGAGGAGGGTGGTGTGGCCTTAGTGGCCTCCCTCCAGGAAGCAGCAGGAAGGCTGGGGACGGGCGGACCCCAGAGTGGCTGAAGCCCCTGCTGCTCACCATCCTCCGGCTCCAGCTTTGCACAGGTCTCAGCTGTGATGAGGCTGTCCAAGAAGTGGTGGCCCAGGGCTCTGGCCACAGGCTCGGGGCCCCGGGCGATGGGCCCTGCCAGGGTCAGGGAAGCTGCCTGGAGCTTGGGCTGGGGCTTGCTGTTGGACTTGGTGCCGTCCAGCCGGACCTGGGCTGTGCTCCGGGGCTGGCGCTCATTCTGCACGGCTGGGGACACAGGAGGGGTCAGGACGCAGAGTGGCCGTGCTGCTGTCCCTTCCGTACCCACCCTACATGCCCACTCACCATCCTGGTTCATGCCAGCCTGCAAGCACTTCTTCAGCCGGCAGGCCTGGCACTGGTTGCGATGTGCTTTGTCCACAGGGCACATCCCCACGCCCACCTGGCACCTACAAGGACAGGGAGTGGCCTCAGGGTCCCGGCCAGGCTGTGGTCTGGGGACAGGAGCCGGCAGGTGCCCTCACCTGTAGATGAGCCCACGCCGCACGCTGCGCTTGAAGAAGCCACTGCAGCCATTGCAGGCATAGATGCCATAGTGCTTCCCACTGCTGCTGTCCCCGCACACGCGGCACTGGAGTGAGGGGCCCGGGGCTGCGGCAGAGCAGAAAGAAGGGTGGGCCACACAGACTCCCCATCTACAGCGTCCTCACTCCCCTTTATTTTTGTCTGAGATAGACTAGCCTTGAACTAGCCTTGAACTCACTACATTTCCCAAGGCTGGCCTCAAACTTGCAATCCTCCTGCCTCAGCCTCCTCAGTGCTAGAATCACAGGCATGCTGCACCACACCTGGCTTCTGTCCCACATGGAGACACAGCCCTTCATTCTATCTGGAAAAGCACCACATTCTCTGGTCTCGTGTTAAGGACCCCAGCACCAACTTCTGCCCCACCCTGCCTCTACTTCCCCAGTCCTCCTCCTCCTCCTCCCCTGTGGATGGCATTAGGCTCCCATAAAAACATTCCAAACATCACCCTGGGGCCTCTTTACAGCCGAGCCCTCAAGGTGCTCCTCAGTGCCTTCCTTCCCTGTTGCACAGCTGTCCTGTCCTGCCACCCCAAAGCTCTGGGATTTTGGGTCCTTTACTTTCCCCCAAACCTCCAGGGCTAAGGTGCTCTGGCTCCTGCGCTGCTCCCAAGGGTCCAGCCTCATCTCCGGGAAAAGCCATACCTGCTGGGTCCTCCCCCAGGCCCCACCTGCCTGGAGACTCCGACCTCGAGGTAGTCACAGCTGCTGGCACAGTGGCAGCCATGTTGGAGCTCATTGGCGCTGTCGACCAGGCCCTAGAAGGTCCCAGGGTACCTCTGTGCCAGTCTCTGCTGTGTTCCTGTCCCTGTGTCTCCCTCTCCCTGGTCCTAGCAGTCGCCTTCTGCCGTTCTCTTCCCTGCCATCTGGACTCAGGAGTGTCCCCAACTTTCTGAGGTCCCTGCAGCAGTGGCTCAGGGTTGAGGAGATTTCTGCCAGGGCGGTGCTGGGCGTAATTTATGATCCTCTTAATCTTTACTGTCTCCTTGGGGATCAGTGGGCTGTACCTGCGGCGTCACCAAGGTGCCTCTGGGAACTGGTCAGTCCCACACAGCTCCCAGGCTGCAGAGTCCCCAGTCCCTCTGCTGTCTGTCACTCAGTGCTGAGTCCTGAAGAGAGGTGTGTGGACCCCACTCCACCCGGGACTGTGATCTCTGAGGACCAGGCACATGTCTAAGGTCCTGGACACTCCAGCCCTCTGCCCTGGTGCTTCTCTCCCCAGGCTCTTAGAGTTTGTGTTACCAGCATTGGGCCCAGGGCCTTTGCATTGAGCTGTAATCTCAGCTGCTCAGGCTGGGCTCAAACTTGTGATCCTCCTGCCTCAGCCTCCCAGACCAATCTCTTGATAAAGGACAGCTTGGGGACCTTCGTGACTCGAGGCCCTTGCCCCCATGGGAGACTGGCAATCCCTGATGCCTGTGGGTGGGGTCTGACCCAGGGTCCAAGGCCGGTATGGGGACGGGGGGCTGGTGGGCAGTTTCTCACCCGCCTGGAGGCTGGGCCTGCAGGACAGGGGTGGCAGTGAGGACACAGCCCCAGGGCTGGTGTAGCTCTCAGTGGCCTCCCGGCCTCCTTGTCCTTGCCTCGTGTCCCCAGTAGGCTGTCATCCCCGGGATGCCCCCAAGGAGTGGAAAGGGAGGGGGGCTCTGCCTCCTTGGCCCCAGCAGGGAGAGAGGACAGGGCAGGGGCAGATCTAGGTCCCCACTAGGTCCCAGGCCAGGAGCCCCTGCCGATATCAGTACCTCCTGCCTGCAGGTGCAGCCAGGGAAACTGAGTCAGGTAACTCACAGCATGTGCTTCCTAATGAGGTGGAAGAAATGAAAAGGAGAGACAAGGAAACCATAACTAAGATATCGCGCTTTTAAGAAGACCACAGCTTCCAGAACCAGCCGAAGTTCCTGAGGCGAGCATATCTTCTCCCCAATAAGACCATCAACTCCCAGAGCCCCTTAGGAGTAGAAGCCTGTAAACTGGCTTCACACGGGATTCAAACAGTAAGAGTCTGGTCCCACAATGAAGGGTTAAGCGAACCCAAAGAATGTCCAAATGAACTATTTAAAAATGCCCATAACTTTGGCTCAGTGGTTCCGCCGCCCACCTTGCAAGCACAAGGTCCCCAGTTTGATCCTCGGTATAAAAAAAAAAAAAAGCCCATACCTGGAGAACAGGCTAACACCCTGGGGGGGCCTTTTCCCAGGGCTTGTACCCCTTCAAGGGAGCTACAGATGTCGCCAATTCTGAGCTGTCCAGCTGCTCTGCCCTCCATGGAGCCCAGAGGCCCTGTCCATCTGGGAACCGCATCCTCAGGGAGCTGGTGGAAGCTTCCAGAAGGACCCTGGTGTGGAGGGGACAGGTGGGGTGTGGTCCCGGAAAGGGGGTTAACGCTCCCTGTGACAGACCAGCACTATTGCGGATTTGGGAAGTCAGCCCCGAGCTTTGCTGGGTAATCGGCTTTCTGGGGCCTCACAAGATCGAGGCCACGGGGCTGAGCTCTCACCTGTCCTCCTGCCGGAAGCCCCTACATGGAGGACAAGTACTCCAGCTCCTCCTAACTGCCAAAGCCAAGGCGCTTCCCAGAGCCTGGCCGAGCACCCGCTTCTCCCCACCCACAGACCACCTCGACTTCTCCCTCGGCTCAGGCTCGACACCGATGTCCCACAACCATCCCGGCCAGCCGACTCACCTGCGCAGTTACCTGGAGACTGCATGCATGCAGGGCAAAGGCTGGGCCTGAGCCTGAGCTGAGCGTCTGAGTCATTGCAAAGTCTGTTCAGAGACAGGGCTATGCTCAGGTCACAGAGGGGACCCCGGAGAAATGCCCAGCGCTTGTCCTTTCTTGTTCAAACCTCACGGGAACCCCACAGAGCAGCCAAGGAAACTGAGTCAGAGGAACTCCAGGCCCCACAGCTCCTGGGGCGGGGTGGAGATTGCGGACACAGAGGGGGGCTGCAAACTTGTGTTCCCCAGGGAACTCCCCAGAGGAGCCCCAGCAGCCGACCCCCCCCCCCCCGCCACAATGGGGTGGGGAGGGAGCAGAAGGAGAGTTTGATCCACAGGGAAGGAGAGAGATAAAGATATTTTAGGAGCAGAGTTTGTTCAAGTTGAAGACGGAGAGCCAGGGAGAGAGGCAGAGCAGGAGGTGGTGTAAGCCGGGCACTGGGCCCTCAGCCCTGGGAGCACGGGTGAGCGTGGGGCAACAGAGCTCACGCAGCTTTCTCTCCACCTGGCTGGGGCTGGGCAAGGGGCTGCACCTGTACTCAGGCCCGGCTCTGAGTGGTGGATCGCCGGCAGGTGGGCAGGGAAGGGAGGGAGAGGGGCTGGGGCCACGGTTGCAGTTTCTCTCGCAGGCAGCAACAGGGCCTGTGGGGGCGAGGAGGGAGGACGGGGTCAGAGAGCCGCCTTGGGAAGGGGCTCAGCAGGGCCCCCGAGGCTCTCTGCAGCCAGTTGAGCGAGCGCCATGGCACAGGCACGTGACCCAGGTGTTCCCGGGGCCCTAGCACCTGGAATCCGGTACACACCTGGTCCTCTGTGTCTCTGATGGGGGACTGCAGACAAGCACATGGACTGTGGTCTAGAGTAGGGGTTCGGGTTTATTGCATAGGATAGCCTTTATGGGGGGCAGGGAGACAGTCAGGCACAGATGACACCTTCAAGCATGAAGGGGACAAGGTGGGGCATGTGGGACCCGGAGGTGTTGCTGCTGAGTGAGGCCTCTGGCAACATTTCTGCCATTAACTGGTCATTCTGGGACATCCTTGCCCTTGCACGGGGCACCGCTTTATGAAGACAGCAGCCGTGCTCACCTGCTCAGAGAGAAGCAGGCCCCACGGGCCCCTTAGCTGGATTCTCCATTTAGTTTGTTTGGAGACCTTAAGGTTTTTCTTTCTTTTAATCCATTTAGGCCAAAGTTGGCCAATTTTGGGGGAGTTTTTTTTTTTTTTGGTACCGGGGATTGAACTCGGGTCCTTGTGCTTGCACAGCAGGCAGCGAAACCACTGAGCTAAATCCTCAGCCCCGAGGGGGAATTTTTTTGCATGAAATTCATGTCTGTTACCTAGAAAAATTCAAGGGGCAAGCATTTGAAGAGAACAATTTGTATTATGTTCCATTGCTATGGGTTGTTCCAAGGATGGAACAGCAGGCCTAAAAGGGTTGATCCTCTGAGGCTGTGTTTGCTGCACATGAAGTTCGCCTTCTCCCCAGGGTGTGGGTGTGTGGCCCCGACACGGCCTTATGCTGCTTCACTCCCCTTCCCACCCGCCCACCTCCCTGTCCCCGTCTCTCCACCCCGTCCCCATTTTCGTTATTGTCAATACTGTCATTTTTAGTTCGTATTTACAACCTATAATGTTCACATTCACTGTGGGTATTCGGCGCGTGTACATGACTCATCTTAAATTCTTTACTTCCCCTTCCCTCACCCTGTCTCTTGGGCCCCTTTTCATTTGCAAAGATCTATCTCCCTGTTTCCTTCCATTACTTTATTTTGCTCTTTAGTCACACTTCGTCTTACTCAAATGAAAGATACCACACAGTATTTAAGCTTGTGTGTCTGATTGATTTCACTTAATGTATTTTCCAGGTGCATCCATTTCCCTACAAATGTCTTGAATTTGTCCTTTTTCATATCTGAGTAGTATTCCATTGTGCATAGATATCACATTTTCTTTATCCATTCAGACTTTGTGGTTTTTGTAACTCCTACCCATGGTCAGGACTTTTAGGACCCCTGGATTTTTTTTTGGTGGGAGGGCTACCAGGGATCAAACTCGGGTCCTTGTGCTTGTGCAGCAGGTAGCGAAACCGCTGAGCTAAATCCCTGGCTCTAGGGGCCCTGGATTTTATGAGCACACTCTAGGAAGTTACATGATTGAGCTCGAGTTCAAAACCACAAGCTAGGGGCTGGGGATTTAGCTCAGTGGTTTCACTGCCTGCTGCGCAAGCGGAAGGACCGGAGTTCAATCTCTGGTACCACAAAAACAAAACAAAACAAAAAAACCCCACAAGCTTGAGTGGACCTTTTCTAAGGCTAATGATTAAGAAAATGAAGGAAAAAGAAAAACCCCCCATCTTTACTGCTTTCCAATGAGCGCCCCCGTCTCCAGTCTGCTAATACTAAGTTTCCGCCTGACATGGGCAAGACAGGGTGGCAGACACGGGCAGACGGCAGGATTGGGGCCAGGACATGAGCGGGGGTGCGGGTGGGGTGGGGTGGGGGTGGGGCGGCTCCTGGTCCCTGCCCTGTCCCGGCTCCTGTTTGGGCCTCACTGTTCTCACCCTCTAACTAGGTCGCGTCCAGGGCCAGGTTGTGTCCTTAATGCGGAAGCTCGTTTCAGGTCAACTTTCTGTCCTCCCTCAGACAGAAGAGCCTGGAAATGGGATCAAGGTTTTGATGTAGCTGAGAACCAGGATCACAGAGCAATTCCGGGATATGAAGTTGCACTGTAACATTTTCCTGATTTCCTACAGTGGGTATGAATTAGAGTGACAAGAAGAACAGCAAAACCCACCCAATAAAAGGCACCTGCAGCGTCTGACCAGCCTGTTCTGCCTCTGTTTTCACTGTTTGAGACAGGGTCTCACTTTGAGGCTGCCTTGGACTCTCAGTGATCCTCCTGCCTCAGCCTCTCCAGTACTGGAATTGCAGGTGTTTGTCACCTTGCCTGGCTGTTTTCAGTTTATCATGTCTACTATTTGCATCTATCAGAGGCAGCCCAGCTCCTAAGCAGGTCAGGCCCAGGCACTGAGCCCTGTGCTGGAGGAAAAGACGACAAAAGCCCAGCAAAGCCTGGAGGCGGGGGGGGGGGGTGTCCCCCATCTGTGACAGCCAGCTGTTGGGGCAGACGCCAAAGGATTAGTCAGCTCAAAGCCTTGGATCTGCTGAGGCAGCCACCAGAGGCCACCTTATCACTAATACACTTATTCCCCCAAGGGACAAGTTAGCAGCTTCCTGTGACTCCCTGGAGGCCTGGGTTGGGGCAGAAGGGTAGTGTGCGAGCTAAAGGTGCAGGGCTGACCTCCTTCTTAGGGTCCTTGTCACCAGGAGGTCCCAGGCTTGAGTCTGGCCTGGGTCCAACTGGAAGGAGGAGGGTGACCTGGCCACTGTCAGGCCGCTGTCGATCTGCTGCTGCACAGGCTCCGCAGCTGGGCACCGCAACTGCGCCTCTGGAACTTGCCCCTGAGTTTGAATCCATGGCTGCTCCCACAGCCCTCTGAGTTCAACACCCAGCTGCGCACAGCCGGCTAAATGATGCCTGAGCCTGCAGCGGAGCCCTGGAACCGTGCTCCAGCTGAGTTTGCTCCTGCTGGAACATGCTCACTGCATTTCCTCTTCAGAGCCACTCACAAAACAGCACCCACAGCCTGGCCCCAGGCAGATTTCTGATCACAGATCACAGGATGCCTCTCCCCGCCAAGACGAATCAACGGCTGCTTCTTGTAGAGCAGAGAGTTGAAGGCTCAGAACCTGGAGTGGCAGAAGCCAGCCAGCAAGCAGTGTCCTCACAAAGCCTCCCTGTTCTCATCTCAAGATAACACTGAGAAGTAATCAGATTTCACTGCTTAGCCTTCCTGGCCCTCGGCAAGTGATGAGAGACGTCCCCGAGAAGCATGTGAAAGACCCAGGCAGAACTGGAGGAGCCCAGACTGTACTAGGTTGGGGAGAAACAAGGCAGTTTGTCCTTAGCTGGGGGTGGTGGCCACAGGGCTATAACCCCAGCTACCTGGGAGGAGCGCTGAGGCAGGAGGATCCCATGTTCAAGGCACAAGGGCATCGCCCTGCCTGTGTCTATTGTGGTTTATTTTTGAGGTCCCAGACGACGTCATGGCAGCTGCAAGGGTTTATGGAACGGTCCCGAATGGAACAGTTTCTATGCACTGTGTTCAGGCGTGACCTGGGGCAGATTCTCCCGTGTGACTGGGAGAATGTGTGAGCTGTGTTTTCCGACAAGCTTTCTCAGTTACACTTCCTACTTTGGCGGAAATATGCAGTGCCCTTCCACGGAGAGGAGGACAGCTCAGAACACGCACGCGTTCATGGCAGTTCTGAGACGCAGGGTACCAATCGGGGAGCGGCCCCTCTGGCCACAAAGCTAGCCCAGGTCCCTCCACTCAGCCCAGTCCTTCCCACCACACAGCCTTCACACGGCTGCCCCTCCTCTCCCCCTTTCTTCCTCTCCCTTCTTCCTCCTCCTCCTCCTTCTTTGTACTGGAGATTGAACCCAAGGCCTTTGCACTGAGCCATGTCCCCAGCTCTTTTCATTTTGAGACATCGTTTCACTAAGTTGCCCAGGTTGACCTGGAATGTGATCCTCCTGCCTCAGCCTCCCAGAGTGTTGTGCTCTTCCTTCAGCCTTGTACTCTTTAACAGAATTTCTTGCACAAGCTTGGCATGGTGATATGCAAGCTGCTGCTGTCAGTCATGAGGCACTGAAAGAGTTACATAGATTTTAACAAATACAACATGGCATGTTTCCAAGAAGGCTTTATCTGCCATTGAAAGGGGTTTTATATAGAGGAAAAATCATAAGATGAAATAACAAGGAACAAAATACTGTAAACACTAAACAAAAACCAGAACGAGTTCTTAGGGGCATTCTAACTGACTGATACTAAGTTTGATATGTAACATATTTAAATAAATATTAGCATACAACATATATGTAATGCAATATAGGGTCACTTGACCTCAGGAATTAGAAACCAGCCTGGGCAAAGCAGAAAGACCGTCTCAAAAAGAAAAGAACATTGGGTGTGGCTGAACTGACAAGTGCAATTGATGGTTGATGTAGAGTATGTGGATTTCCCTGCCCTGTTTTTTTGTTCGCTTTTCTCAGGGTCTCATATGGGACTCACTATGTAGCCCAGGCTGGCTGCCAATTCCTGCCTCAGCCTCCTGAGTTCTGGGATAACAGGCATGCACCTTCAAATCCAGGTTTTCCTGCCCTATGAGCTCTCATTTTGTTGTGACTTAAATTTCACATGAAATGTTAGTTTAAAATATGCACAGGCATACAACCTGAGCACATGGAACAGGAGACCAGAACTGTGTCAGCCGACCTTGGAACGCCCTCTGGATGCACTCTGGTCCAAGGCCTTCCTGCTCCCCCCGTTCCCACACCAGGGCCACCTTTAGGCAGCTAAAATGGGGGTGAGGCAGAGAGCGTTCGGGGGTGTCTGAAAGGACACCAGATGCCACGCGGGGCTGTGTGCTCCCCGCTCCTCCCTGTCTACGCCTGGTCCTGGCAGCTTGGGATGCACCCCCCCTTCCACACTTCCACACCACCTCCAATGTGTCCCCCGGCCCTGGGTGTCCTTGGCCCCCACATCCCCATCCCCATCATCAATTATTAATGTTCTCCACCACGAACATGAGCTTTAGGAACAGGAATCCTGCCTGTGTCACTGAGGGGCTGGACACACAGATGGAGACGAATTGTCACTTGTGTGACTAAATGAGCGCAAGGTCGCTGTTCTCTCGGTGCCACGGCCTGGGCTCTTGCTGGCTGCACTCCCGCCATCGCCTTCCCCCCTGGCCGAGACGTTAAGATCAACTGGGTGACTCCAGGAAGAGAGGCAGCAAGGGGAGAGCTGCTAAGGTTGATGGAGGTGTTTTCAGACAAGGGAGAGATGTGGCTGAGAACCCTGATCAGGGTGCTGGGTCCCCAGGGGTCTTTCGCAGGTTCCTCTTTCTAAACAGTTTCCCCCGAACCGACAGGAGCTATCACAAGCTCAGCTCTGAGACCACTCGTCCCTTGCAGGTGGCCTCTCTTCACCCCTCTGTTCTGCCACTCATGTCCCCTCCGAGCCGGGTGCTTATTACCCCGCTAATCAGACAATCTCGGGCCATCTGCCCTCTTCCACCGCCCAGCAAGGGCACAACACGGAGACATTGGTTTGGGAGCAGTGTGGCCACTTCACAGCATGTTTCATTTCCCAAATTTTAGCATCTTTGCTGGAATTGGAAATCACAGACATTTCATTAGTACCTCGATGCATCTTCAGGCATAGGATTTACAACCTTAGGGACAAATTCTGGCAGAGTTACTTAGTGTTTAACACACAGTTTTGTCTTCTCTGCACAAGCACCAAAAGGGAGCTTTTATAACAGGGCCACGAGACCGTGCCTAACACCTGGTGGGGTCTCCGTCCCCTCACAACACCTGTTTTGTCCTGACGTACAGACTGGGGCGTCAGAGCTCCCCGACACCATGACTACCCAGAAGATGGGTGAATGGAATGAGTCACGGAATATTACCTCGGCAGTGAAACGGATTTCCTGTGCTCCCACGACAACTGTGGAGATAATTTGGCAAAATGGCCCGAGACTGTCTTTGACCAGCCTGTGCTTTTCTTTATTCTACAGGTGACTGCCTGAAGGATTTGGGGAGCAATGAGCAGGGAGATCATTTGCAAATTAAAACTGGATACCACTGTCGGGTTAAACAGGGAGGACCTACCGGTGATAGAAGCCATCCTCACACAGGTGCCATCTGGGTCAGGTGCCTTCATTGTGTCACACGTGACGGGGCAGAAAAGAAAGGAGGAAAGCTTCTGGTAGGAAAGGAGACCCCGGGAGCTGGGAGGAACTCGTGGACACTGATGGGGATACAGAGCACCTGGGAGACTGACTCAGCGGTGATCAAGAGTTGATGCCCTGAACCTGAGAGCTGGAATGCTCTGGACCCAGACTGCTTGCTGCTCTCTCGTGTGGGCACCACCAGAATGAACAAGCTCTTTTAAAAATGTATTATTAGTACATGTTTGCATTCATCTTATGGGGTGGGCACCTGTACTTAACATAGCTTCTTTTTATTTCTTTGCAGGTAAGAATAGCTACTGAATCCATTTTTGGTCAAGACTATCTAAGAGGAAGTTGGCCGAATATAGGAGAGGATTCTGGGAATATGTTCGCTTTCTCGGTAAATGGAGACAAACGCAGCTGCAAACTGCCCTTCTCATGTTCTTCCCTGAAGATGGATGTGAGAGCTGGAGCAGTAGAAGCTGTCTTGCACCCAGGAGGGAGAGGTCAAGAGAAGGCCAGAGAAGTAGGCTCTTAAACCCCTGAGGTTCTGAACCAATGCCAACAACTGTCTCCCTCCGGATTTCTTGTTATGAAAGAAAAACAAATTCCTAAACCCCAGAAAGTCAGGTTTGCTTTTATGCATGGTCAAATGAATGCTTCAGTGACACACAGGTTATCTGGTTAGCAAAATTAAATCACATATAACACATGAGCACAAAGGCCTGAAGCCATTTCACTCCCTGTGTTTCAAGAACGAAAGAGTAAACTGATAGGTTAAGTCCTCAAACCTAGACTTACAGAAGACTGACCATTTTCTTTTCAGGTAGGGGACAAGGTCTTGCTGTATAGTTCAGGTGGGCCTTGAACTTGCAGGAACCCCCCTGCCTCAGCCTCCCGAGTGTTGGGATTACAGGCGTGCAACACTGGCTGAAGTTCTTTTTATCAAGGGTATGTCTGGTTCCTTATGTGGCCCAGCCATACAGAGAGCCCCCATAGCCCACACGTGACAAGTCAGTTGGCCTCAAGATGGCTGGATCTTTCTGGAGGGGCCTGTTGGAAACAACGCGGATAGACCATGAATAAGGTCAGAGAAAACACAGATGCGGTAACAGATCTTTTAAGCAGTTTATTGTATTTTTACAATAAAAATAAATTAGTCATACACAAAAATAGTTGTCATTTTTACTGAAAACAGGCCATATTTACTCATATAATCCACCACCTACTGTCCACCCCATTTCATGCCGCACAGGAGCCTGGGGTGGACTGAGTATGGAGGGGGATCCTGGCCTCTTGCTCCTGGCAATGCAGCCACAGGATGACCTGGTCTCCCTGGGCCCCATTGGAGCCACAGGCCTCCAAGCCTCTCCCCACCCAATCTGCAGCTCTGACCCTGGCCAGCCTAACAGCAGATGACACAAGGAGGGACAAGAAGAATGTGGGACAGGTTGGGTCCCCAAATGTGTGGGGACACAGAGAAGGCAGATTATACAAGAAAATACAGTGTTAAAGATGGAACGATGTTGGGGTGAAAGCCCCCAAACAGTCAGAAAACAGAGTAATTTATATTCGATCTTAAACCCCAAGGAGTTTGACTCATTCGGGTACTAAACGATGGTAAAGATTGACTTAGGATAAGGCAGTGTGGAGTAGGAAGCTGGTTAGTATGGTCAGATGGTTTTATACAAGTGTGGATAGTATATGCAAATAAATACCTATTCGGTCCCTTTAATATTAACATACTCTAAATAATAGAACTATTTTGGTGTAGTGACTTACTCTGCAGTAGAGTTCAGAATAAGTATTTCCTATAAACATCTTGTATTTACAAAGAAAAACATAATAAGTTATCACAAAGTATATCCTTCTGTCAAACTGAATGGTGGAGCAGGAGGCAAGGCAGCTGGGGGTTTGTTTAGGTACCAGAAGGGGTTTCCTTGCACCGAGCAGGGGCTCACGGTCTGGGAGATGCTGAGAACGATGGCCAGAAGTTGCCATTGTCTAGTGGTCACTGTTCCACAGGACAAGGGGAATCTAGGTAGAACCAAGAATCAGGGCTGGTTCAGAGCTGACAGAATCACTTTGTTCCAGCAGAGGTAGAGGAAAGTAAAGAGCTGAGAGAGACTGACAGGAGGTAAAGGGCTCCTGGCCCATGGACGTGCTGCCTCCCTGGCCACATCCTATCTATGTCCCCTGTGACACAGGACCAGACAGGGCAGCTCTGGCCAAGGTACCAGTGGTTCTCAGAGATAGGAGGCCACACTCAGCTTAGGGGATGGAGGCACTGATGGGTCTGAAATGGTCAACATGGTGGCAAAAGATAGGAATAGGACAGGACATATGTGGTTCGCACACTTAAAGCTCACATAAAGCCATTCTACTAACATAAGCACCAGAGCCCAGACTTGGAAATGACCTTGAACATCAAGATTCACAGCCAATGTCTGGGACCCTCTCCTGACCCATGGCCGGCCATCTGGCTTGGTGACACTTCCAAGGATGGCCCAGTCACCACTGCCACAAGCCCTCTGACGCTGAAGCTTGGTTCTTCTGTAAGAGCAGACATCTGGCTCCCTGTAGCTTCTCACTCCCAGGCCTAGGACAGCTCTCATTGTGCTGAGTTCTTCTCCAGGTCCCACACCCTCACGAGGCCCTTTCCACCCTGGACGTCCCCACCTGGACATTACACAGCATCAACAGTCTCCTAAAGTGCAGCTCTACAGTCCTAGATGAAACATGGTGCCTGTGTGTTCTCCTCATGTCACCTAAACATCTTGTGAGTTTTATTTTTGAGTGGCTCCATCCCACTTTCTTGAGCTTTGTCAGCTGAAATACATCTCCTAACCTTTTTTAAAAATCCAAAGGTAGATCTTTATATTGCTTCCTGGTGAGCTGTTAAGATCTGAGTTTTAATCTAGTCTTGATCTGTTTAGATCCAGGACCTGTTAGCTAAGCCATTGGCTCTCCAATTTCATGTCATCCAAAGTTTCCAGTAAAGCATCTATTTCCCCATCTAAACCATCTTAAAAATGGCAAAGACCAGATGTTGGTCTCCACCTACTGGGCTGATACAGATTATTCATCCTGGTTTAACTTTGGGTCATCTTTTATCTTCTCTATTTATGTCTTCTTCTTTTGAAAATTATTATCCCAACTCTACCAGAAAGACGTTAGTGGAAAAAGGCGAAAACATTGGCTTAGTACAGTAATGTCTAGATTTCCCTTGCTGCCAAATGGCCTGCTTAAAAAAAAGCCAAACCAGTGTCTCCCATTTTCTGTCCTTTCATAAAGCTACTGTTTAAAGCAGTGAATGTAAACCCTGGGAATGAGTGAATGATACAGTACTCAAGGAAATGAAGAAAAACACCCCAAAGAGCCGGGGGCCAGAGCAGGAAGGCAGAGGGACAGATGGGGACAGATCTGAGAGGTCTGTCCTAGGGGTTCCCACCAGCTGCGCGGACCTCAAACCTTTACTGAAGGGAACTGGCGCCCTCTAGCGGCGGGCTTGCAAGGCACTTTCTGGCGTCCTGTATTTCTTGTCCCTTTTCCAAGGGGGGACCTGCAGGTGGCCCTGAGAATGGTAAAGATGGAAGTCAGGAGGTGCCCCCTGCCTAGGCTGGGAGAGTTCTGCTGATATCTGTGAGGGAAAACACATAACAGCTTTAATTTATCTAATTTTAAAATTCAGAGCAGGGAATGAGGCAATGAATTACATGGCGGGGGGCAATGTTAAAATATAAATTTCCATTCCACATTCTGCGAGAGGAAGGCACGGAAGGGGCTCGGGAAAGAGATGGCAGATGATGAGGGGAGAGGGGTGAGATGGGTGCTGGGGAAGGAGACAGCACTGTCTGCAGGGAGAGCGCCCCAAGGTGGGGTTTTCCTAGACTCCGTCCCTGGAAAGGGACTGCTGGAAAGCCCTAAGTCCCCGTGGCCATGACCGGGGGAGGATCACTGTCCTCTCAGAATTAGGTGACATGTGGGGCCGCAGGTCACTGTTAGATGCCAAAGAGACAAAGCCATCACTGACCGGGGTGCGAGTTCCTCAGCTGGAAAGACTGGGGTGGGTCCCCTCCCAGAAGTCTGCAAAGTCTCTTTAGGGACAGCGCGCTCTCTTGCTGTGGTGGCCTGCTCCCCTCTTGGATGGCTTTGAGTGCTAGAGCTTTTCCTTCACTTACGTTAAACCAGCCTCCCCTCTGCACCACCGGTCCTGGCGGCCCCCGTGGGTGGGGAAAAGCTCTTCAAGCAGCTTGCAAGGACTGCTCGCTCAGCGGGGCCTGAAGGCACAGGATGAAGAAAAACAAGAAGCAGGCCGCCGGAGGAAGGAGCAGGCACACGACAGAGACCCGCACTCCCTGGGCATCTCTGTCTCCTTGTGCCTGATCACACAGCTGTTGGACCTGCCGGTCACATGAGAAGAGCTGCCCACCCAGGAAATTCACCTCGGCTCCCAGGCACAAGAGCTGGACAGGACACCCCCAGAGCAACACCCTGAGCTCCCGAAGGCCCGAGGGAGGGAGCCTGACAGGCCCAGATCTGCAAATCCTCATCCACGTGGCAGTTTCCAGTCAACACACTCAGGGGCCAGCAAAGGCTTGCTGTGAAAGGAAAACAGGCCCAGGACCGAGAACGGGGGACATTTACAAGTCCACAGTTGTTTGGCCTGATATTCTTGATGGGTGAAATAAAAAAACTTAACATTGTTTTCTAATTGGTTCACTTTTCAAAGCGTACCGCACCCCACTTAAAGCCCGAGACCTCTGCAGTTCCCTAGCTGGGTGAAGGGAGGTGGGAGCTGGGGAAGCAGGGTTCACGCCTCCTCTTCCCAGGCCGGCTGTATTAACGCAGATCTTGGAGGTCAACTCTAGGGGAGGTGGGGCTGAGTCATGCAGGTGAAGGAAGGGTTGGAGGGCACAGAGAAAAATCCATAAAGCACCGGAGAAAGACCAAAGTGACTCTTTCTAATACAACCTGGAGCTTTTGTGGGGGCCCGCAGGCTGGACTTTGCACCGGGCCGCACATAGTGTGGAGCCCAGCACAGAAGGCGGAGGACGGTGAGAGTCACATGAAGGGGCCCCAGCGAGAGGGACATGTCACTTGGGGTGGAACCAGGACATCAGGCAAGCCCCGGCTCCCACTGTGGCTGTCAGGTCCCCACACAGTTTGGTTGATGATGGATTTAGGGAAGTCGGACCTGTCTCTGTGAGGAGGGGAGGGGAGCGAGCACTGGACAGAGGGGCTGGCCTTCACGCTGAGAGGAAGAGGCTGAATCCTGGGCTGTGTGTGCTGTTGGGAAACTTCTCAGCCCCCGGGCTGGAAATGAAGCCGCCTCCCTTAGGCCTGAGGTCCCTGCAGGCTCCAGGGGGTGACTGGGGCAGGTGAGGTCTGTGGGCAGGTGACCAGGTGGGCACTCAGCTCTGCCACCATGGCAGGTCCTGAGTTAAGTTTCTTTGTCAAAAAAAGGAGAGTTTCTCATCCGCTGCCTCCCATCTGGGATGCTCCGAGCCACTAAGGAGCTAATATCTGCATTCCTGAGGCAGGAAGTTGGGCTGATGGCCTTGAGAGTGAAAACAGGCACAGCGGCCGAGGTCGCAGAGGGGCGGATGTGTCAGCCAGGCTTAGGGGGTCTGGATGGGGCCGCTGCCTCCTCTGACTTCCAAAGGGTGCCCACTTTGGAGAGGCCAGGAACACAGGGACGAGGCAGCGCCTGGCAGGGACATCCGCTGACTTGGACAGCACCAGGGCTGAGGGCACCAGTCACAGGTGCCGGGTCCCCAGGGTCGTTGAGTCCATGGCAACGCTTAAGGGACTGGCCGTGGCTTTTAACACCCTGGCATGAAGCTCCTGGCACTGCAGAAACAGTTGGCAGAGGTGAGGGTGGTGATGGTGGCAGGCAGTGCCCAGGCTGGGCGCCCTGGCAGGGCCGGGACCAGAGGGGGTGCGGGTTATCTGCTCCCCAGGAAGCCAGTGTGCCTGGCGGCCACGCGGGTACAGGATGCACAGCAGGCTGTCTTGTAGTAGTTGTAGACACAGAGCCGCGCCTGCACCACCACATTGCAGTTGTAGTACTTGTCCTGGCAGTTTTCATCTGCGGGGAAGAGAGCAAAAGAGACTGCTTGAGCCCAAATCAGGCCTGGACCAGCAGCCAGAGTAACGTGCAGCTTTTCATCCTGGCCCTGCTGTTTATCAGCTATGTGAGGTGTGTGTGTGTGCCAACAGCTAACAGTGTTTACTCACTCATTCATTCATTGGTTTCTGGAAACAGAGTCTCATTATCTAGTTCAGGCTGGCCTTCAATTCACTTTGTAACTGAGGCTGGCCTCAAACTCATGGTGATTCTCCTGACTCAGCCTCCTGAATGCTGGGATTACAGGTGGGTGCCACCAATCCCTGCTAGTTCTTGCTTTTCTACATAAATTTAAGATCCGGTTTGTGAGACTTTTCTATGAAAAACCCTGTCTGTATTTTGATGAACACTGCTTGAGTAGACAGATTTACCTGAGAATTGACAGTATACTTCTCAGTTGGTTGCTTTTTTATATTACTCATAAATATATTTAGATATCATAACATTCTTTTTCAGGGCAACAGTGTATCCTGTCCTAGGTGGGACAAAATAATTAATCATTTCCTTCTACTGACAGAAGTGTCTTAGCTTTTAATTTCCGTGAGTTAGAAGAAATTATAAAATTTACTCACTGGGGCTGAGGGTCACATCCAGGGCTTCTTACATAAACGTGTGGCTGACCACTGAGCTACACCCTCAGCCCTTATGCATTATTAATTCTACTGCATTGAGTGAACCCTGTTCTTTTGTTAAAAATGTTATTTTATTGGTACAATTTAGGTATGCAATATAATGACATTCATCATTGGAAATTTGCACCTCTACATAATCTCTCTTGGTTCTTATTTTTCCCCCTTCCCCTGCCCTCCCTTCAACCCCTCCATCCCTCCTGATTTACAAAGACTTTGTTTCCATTTTTTCA